GGGGCGCGGCGCTCCCGGAATTTCGGGATGCAGAGCCCCCGCTCCCTGCGGCTGGGACATCACTGCTGTCCCATGCGTGGGACCTCCACGACAGCAGGGTCGCTGCCCCAGCCTTGCTTTGTGACCACTTCAGTTCTCCTCAGCTCCGCATCAAATGCTAACATTGTCCCTTTTCCTCGTTCATGGGATTTGAACGGTTTGGGTTTGAAAGGAGTTTTTAAAGGCGATGTGTCCAATCCTCCTGCAAGCAGCAGGGAAATCTTCAGCTAGATCAGGCTGCTCAGAGCCCCGTCTCACCTGGCTTTGAATATCTCTGGGAATGGGGCAGGGCATTCACCACTTCTCCGTGTCAGTGTTTCATCAACTTCACTGTAAAAAACCCCAACTTTTTCCCTTTATAGCTAATCTAAATCAACCCTTTTTTTACTTTAAAACCATTACCCTGCAGCACTCAGGACCCCTGGACATTAAACAAGCTGAACGTGGTGTGATCTGAATTTCAGGGTGGTGGGTATGACAGCATCTGGATTCAGGCACAATTCCTCCTCACGGAGCTGGAGGGAGATTTGATCAAGAGCTGCTGTGCTGTGCTGTGGCTGTGCATCTCACACATCCACAGATGCACAGATGCAGCACGCTGCCCTTGGGCTGCAGCTGAGCATCACTGACAGGCAGAGCCATTTCTGTGGATACCCTGGGCTGCTGCTCCTGCACTGCTTGGAGCTCCTCAGCTCACAACCAGCTCAAAACCAGCTCGAGGTTTACCTGCACATGCTGCAGGGACGGATGCAAAGCCCTGCTGTGGAATTCACATCTGCTTCATACGTGATTGAAAGACACTCAGCCCAGCTGAGAACCTGTGGGTGTACAGCTCCATTTACCTGCAGCCACTGTGGGGTTTTACAAAAGGCAAACTGGGGCACACGGAGGGCTGGCTCACACACGAGTGGCCCTGCAGCAGGTTGGGTCTCCATCCAAGAGGAGAATTAGGCAGGAGTCCCCAAGGCCAGCACCCAGTGATGTGGGGGCACTGTGAATCAGGAGCCACCCTGTTAAAGGACAATAAGACAAATTTTCTGCTCAGATATTGCATTTAACTGAAATTTGACTGTCAAACAGCATCTGAAGCACTTCGAGGTGGTGTCAGTGCACAGCTCCGTGCTATTCCCAGCACAGGGCTGCAGAGGGAGATGGCTTTGTGCCCTTCATGGGCTTTTTCAGCCCCATAACCATCCACAACCTTCTGCCTTGCCCAGAGATCTGGTCTGCAGGCACCCACAAACAAATATTCCACCACAAGGAAGTGCTGAGTGCTACCAGCACCTCTGTCTGCTTAGCAGCACCTTGGCCAAAATGTGTTTTCCCTCTCTGAGCACTTTCCTGCAGGTGCACAAGGTGCTGCAACAGGGAAAAGGCTTCTCCAGAATAAAGACAGAATATCTGTGCAAAACATGTGAAACATCCTATGCACAGTGAAACTGCAGTGGAGAAAACAAGGAGGTATAAAAGACAGTCACAGCCCCTGCAAGAACAAGAACAAAGGAGGAACAGGGAAGGAGATTGTTCCAGTAATTGCCTCCCCCAGGTAAGGATGCTGAGCCTGAGCAACGCTGCTGGCACAAAAAAAAATGCTGCTGTTTGATTCATTGTTCACCTAATTTTGCTGCTGCAGCAAATCACATGTAAAATAGTGCATTCCACTGTATAATCAAGATAAACAAGTCAGCTTTTCCATTAGGGGTGTGTGTGTGCAGATGCATGCACTCTCTGCCCTGTCACGACAGGGTGGGTGATACCAAGAGCACCAAGGCAAGAATGAATTTGGATGCACCAAATTCACCAAGTCCAGAGCACAGGCTCCCTGCCAGAATCCTTATTTGTGGCACCTGGGCCAGGCCACAGTGATTCCTTCAGTGATTTGGCACACAGGACACTCATCCCATGCCAAACTCCCCCAGCAAGCACCTCTGGTCACACCCCCTGTGACAGGGTCACTGCAGACCCACTGATGTGGCTTCAGGGTCACATCTCTGCAGGCACAAGGTGTCCATGTTGGCCAAATCCATGGAGAAGCCGTTCCCAGGGGCTGGCACACCTCGTGTTTCCCTGCACACTGGGAGGACTGCATCCCTGCCAGGCTGATAAGGGGCTGCAGCACACAGCCATGAGGATGTGCAGATGGGAGAGAGTTCCTGCATCCAGCACGTGGAAAGCAAAGGAGAAACCTCCTGCTGTTTATCTTTGCCTTAATTTGCATCTTCTTAAAATGCCTAATTAGTCGTGCTAGTTGATATACTGGCTCAGGCACTCCTACCTAATCCAGTCAGCAAACCCAGGCTGTGGAAATATTTGTCCTGCGTCTTCACATGAGGCAACATTCATGGTGTCCTTTGGGGTTGAACCTGCAGCTGGACATGGGTCTCTCAGTGCAGGTCCTGCTGCATGGGCAGCTGCAGGGTTTGGGAGCCCTCCTTTGTGGTGTCCATCAGGAAATGCCAAGCATTTGGATGTGAAAGGGGATCAGCCCCCTGACCTCAAAGTGGGGTGTGGATTTTTGGCTAGTTCACCTAGAAGTTCTCCTTCTGCAGACCAGCTGTGGTTTTGACCCAAGACCCAAGAATGCCAAAGTCCTTTCTGTACCACATATTTACTTTTATACCAATATATACTTTGTAATATACCTTAATATTTAGTTCCAATGGCTTTACTGAATTTACTTTAATTGTAATAGGAGAACAAGATGTATATGAAGTTGTTTGATATCAGCTTTTGTTGTGGTTCCCTCACTAGCTATGTCCATCATCTAGCAAGCCACTGAACCCAAAACCTCTGAGTGTTTTAAAGCTTAAATATTTGCTTACTCAGCTGTAATGATGTCCCAACCAGTAGCCTGTAAATCTGCACCACACTGAGGAGCACAACTGTGGTGGAAAGTTTTGGAAAGGGACTGGGAAAATACAGATAGAACTATCCACAGAGGGCTTTATGGACAAGCAATGTTCTCAAATTCCTTCATCTCCTTGTGTCACTACAGGAGCACCTGGCTGAGGTGTCAGCTCCTCCTGGGACTGCTGTGTAGAGAAATGGGTGTGACAAAGCTTTGGGTTCCCTGTAAGGGAAATTTCTGTGTGGCAGATGAGGACAGAAGGAGCTTCCTAGGAGCTTTCCAACAGAATGTGCAAAGGATTTGGAATTTGCCTAACAAGGGGTGGGGGAAGAAAAGAGTTAAATCCTGATGCCTCAGCTCAACCTTTACTCAGACAAAACTTTTTCTGATCTCCTGGAGGTTTTTGCTTAGGGGAAGCCCCATGTCTGAGCTCTTTCTTTCCCCATGAAGAGGCACCACGGCTGTTTTACTCGTGGGTAACCCACCATGCAGCGTGTTTTACACGCCACAGCTGCTGCTGCCCTGCTGGAGTGTGAGCTGCAGTGAGGAAACACTGATTTCCAGCCCTGCAGGCTCCTCAGTCCAGCCTGATGTCAGTCCCATCCATCACACCTGAGCAGAGAGAGCCAGGGCAGACATGCCCAGGCTGCTGAAGCACAGCAGCAGCTTGCTTCACTCCACACATTGGATATCTGAGCTTGAAGCTCCTGTGCGTCCTCGAGTCCAAATGCTGATGTTCAAAGAAGCAGAAAGAACTTTGATTAAACACAAAACTGGCTAAATTTGCTTCCCAGTGAACTCAACAGAGCTATGCTGACATCCCCAAGACCTGGTGCTGCTCTGTGCCTCTGCTGCATGCAGCTATTACAGAGCTCTCCAGGGAGCAGGGAGTGGGATGGGCTTTGCTTATTTTTCAGCACAAAAATGCTAAAGAGAAGCTCAAAGCAGCTTTAATTACGAATTTTAGAGGAAAAGGGTGAAGCAGCCATCCAGCTCTTCTGGTTGCCACCACATGTGAAGCCCTTGGTGTCCAACACACATCTGTCCCAGATGTTCCACAGCTGTTTTCCTTTCCAATGCCCTGCATTATCCCACTGCCTGCCTTGGCATCGGGCTGCCCACAAGCACTTGTTCACATCAGTGTGCAGTGCTGGGAGGTGGCTGAGGGCTACAATGCTGCCAGCAAACCTTGCAAACATTCTGTTGGAAGCATGACAGCCCGGGGAGAGACACAAGGAATGGCTGAGAGGAGGAGGGTTCCAAGGTTTCTCAAAGAATCAGCAGCTGAGGTATCAGCAAACACAGATTTAATATAAAAGCGACAGCACAACAAAGTTTGTTGGCAAGGCTCACCCACTACTTACTAATGGTTAAAGCACAGAAAGGAAAAAAGCAAACAAAAAATCCAATGTCAATCAATCCAAACTGATAGAAACACAACATTATTATGTGAAGGCTGGGCTGGGGAAGGGGAGACAAAAGGATAGGAGGATAAAAAGGAATATATCCAAAAGGCACAACAGCTCTTCAATAAACAGCATTTAAACTTAACAGCACAGAAACCTACCAGATTTAACTTATGTTGTAGTTAAGCCAAACAATACAGCAAAGGATTCATATAGGATTTACTATACCACAAGAGTAACTTACCTACAGGCCTAACTTCCTTCCAAATGTAAAATACTTCAGAATCCAGGAGAGCAGAATTCCCAGGACACTTGATGTAGCATATGCACACTTGCATGCATACTGTACAAGACACCTGTAAGGAATCCCCTTCTAATTCAGTGAAACACTCACCTGGGATGCCTTTGGTGCCCTGCTGTGCCCAAAAGCCTGTCTGCTTTCTTCACAGCTCATCTGCAACATCAGCTGCTGACCCAGCAAGAGCTCTGTGATTTCTGCCCGCACACCTTGCCTTGCTTTAACCCAGAACATTTACACCTCCTTACACGGGTTTCTAGGTAACTGAAGACAATTTGAAACTCTGCAAGAAATGACAGGAGGTGAGTTTGGGAAATAACAGGCTGCAGCTTCTCTGTAATGGCATTAAAAGAGTCAGAGGATACCAACACTCGTCTCCAGTGCCACAGCTCCCTCAATGGGGAATTCACCTCACACTCTGCTTAGCTCTGTGGTGTGAGGCTCTGAGGAGACCCCACTCCTGATGTTCTCCTGATTTCTGCCTGAAAGGAGCAGCACTAGCAGGAGATTTCTCCTATGGAGGTTTATGAGCAGGTTGCTCCCATCTCTTCCCTCAGTCTGTAAGAGAAAAACTGACTCAGTACTGACTTGGAAGAACGAGGGGGATGTGAATGTGAGTAACAGGCATTTGCAAAGATGCATGTGAAGAAACAGCTGGAAGACATTGCCTAAGTTAGCTACCTTCAGACTGAAAAGAAAGGTCTCAATTTACCATCTGCAGATGACTTAGATCAGCACCTCACAGACAGCACCCATGAGCAGCATCCCTGGGACACAGACCTGCCATCCTACATGGAGAACACAGGATTCCCTGCTCCACCTCCCTGGGAAGTCCTCCAGGATCCAGAGAGGTAATCTTGCTCCCCAAAAAGCATCTTGCGTGTTTCTTTGGCTACTTACCTTATTTGGAAAGGTGTGGTTTCCCTCCCCTGGCATTTCTGCTGTGCCAGAGAAGTGTCAGCTCTTGGTTGCCTCACAGAGGGATGAAACTCTCCTGCCCTGATTCCCTCTGCCAGTTCCAGCATGAGGGAAATCCATCCCAGCCCTATAACCTTCGTTAGCCTGGATGTAAGCAGACACCTCAGTGCAATAAAAGTTCACAGCTTATTACAGGCTCTGGGCTGATACCATAGATAATGGTAATTAACTGCTCTGGGATGACAGTGGTTTATTGCTGACTGATTTCTCAATGATTTCCTTAAGCAGTCTGTAAAAAAAAAATGGGTCTTGCCAAGGATGGAGATGGCAGGAGGAGACAGAAAGCAGCTGAGTCTGCAGCTCAGCACATGAGGGGCTTGGAAGGGCACCTGGAGTTTACCCTGAGCTAGGGGCAGGATCAGTGCATTTACCCATTCTCAGATTTATTTGTGAGTGTCAGGGTTTCTGTAGGAGTTTACCATGAGCTGGGGGCAGGATCAGTGCATTTACCCATCCTCAGGTTTATTTGTGAGCCTCAGAGTTTCTTTGAGTGAATATTTAAAGGCCACTCCTACCCATGCACAGGGTGCTGCAGCAATCATGTTTTGATGCATACTGAAAGTATGATAAAATTGGGGTTTGGTTGTGTCAGAAGGTGCTGAAATCGCTGTCTCACTTTACTAGATATGGCTCCAACCAAGCTGGTTTCTACAGAAATTCCCTGTATTAAAGGAAACTGAGCAATCACATCCTCATCACCTCCCATGCAGACACCTTTTCCAGCCACTGATTTGCAGAGCTGAGGACCGGTCAATTTATCCAGCCTGAAAATCGTTCTGTATCTCCATGAGATGATCCCCACATGGGAGAACATCTTGTTCTCCTCCACAGAAAGGGGCAGGAACCTCTTCTCAAAGCCTCCAGCTTCCTTCTGCTCAGTTCCACACACGTGGGAGTCGCTTCCAAGGCACATCTGCTGCTGAAAGGAGCCGAGCAACGTGGAGGGAACAAACACTGGCAATCAGCTTTCGACCTGATTTTGAGTTTCCTAGTGAAAAAAAAGGACATTTGTAGTCTATCAGCACAGCACTGAACCACGTTAAATACGCCTCCATTTATCTTCAGTAAGACCAATACAGTTCCTTATTATTGGAACAATGGTGTATTTTTGTCATCCTTAATTATTAACTTATCTGGCTGCAATTTCTTCGTTTATTAAAAGGATATTCTAGGTGACTTTAACAGCTATACAACTCTTATATAACCAACATCTTAAACTCTTTTTTTCCAGCCATTCTTTTCCTTTTTCTTTTTTTTTTTTTTTTTTTTTGCTCACAGCTTTTCTATTTTTCTTTGGCATTGGTAAGTAAACCCAAGGGGCCAGCTCCTACAGTTACACTGATGTTTTTGGAGCATGGCCTGGAGTTTTATCAGTTTACATCATCTGGGAGTGGGCCCATAAAATTTTAAAACGTTGCAATAAATGAAAGCAGACAGGTGACAGAGTGACAACACCAGACAGAGAGAATGGCCACTGCCAAGGCAGTGCAAACCTCAGCTTTATTTGGAGGAAAAGTCCTGCAACTACATATGGTACTGGGATGCGAAACACACAGGCAGGTTTGCTGGGAGCTGAATACGGGAGCAAAATTTGGCCTGTACAGAAAAACAACTTGCAGTGTTTCCTCAGGTGACACTGGCAAGCCTTCACCACCACCAAATGATTCCTGCATGTTCCCACAGCGTTTGCCACTCCAAGCAAGAATATTCCAGAGGTAGGTGGGGGGAGAGGATACCCTGGAGTGGCTCCCCACCAGCTGTGGTTCACAGCTGCCTTCATGGCAAAGTTCATCCTGAGCATCCTGGAAGCCACTGGCACTTGTGTGTATTTTGCCATGAGTCTGCAGCAATGCATTTATTCTCTTCCAGTGACTGCAGCTGGTTTCTGCTGCCCAGCACAGTCGGTGTCCCCAGGATCTCACCGACAGAAGGAGATGGGAGCATCCCAGTTTCTTCACCGACTTATCCTCCTCACTCTCAGGGCTGTAAAGCCAACTGATGGTTGCCATGAGCTCTCTGTCCCCACTGCTCACCCAGAGCAGTGTGACCTCCTTCAGCCTGTTGTTTGAACCCAAATTTCCTCAGTAACCAGCTCTCCACACCCGCTGCCGTGCCACAGCCACTTCATTTCTGCCACAGAGGACACCACCCTGGTGACAGTGAAGGGAGGGCTGAATTCCTTTCCCAGTCTGGCTCTGTGTTTTGACAAGTGATTCTTTCTATAAATCCCAGACAGGGTAACCCTTCCGAGGCAATTGTAAAGCTGGATTTAATGTACATCACAGAGAATACACGAAAGCTCTCGTACATTCTGCAGCACTGGGGGTTTTTTGGTGGCTCTGTGAACATGCTGACCAGCAGCTGACCTTGCCTCCTGATGCAGAGCACAGCCACTGAAGGATAGGACACACTGCTATCATCAGTATTCCAAATTTCACTTCATATTCTGCATCTGCTTCCCCTCAATGTGGTGATGGGTCCCACCAGCCACCTACAGTAGCTCATCACCAGAGGCGTGGGGCCTTGTGACATGATTGCTCTCAGAGCACATGGGGCACAGCCCAGGTATCCTTGATTCCTGCAGCACCGGTTATTCCCTCTCTTGGTGAAGCCCTTCCCAATGAGAACAGGGTGGCTGCAGCCTTGAGAGGACAGAGGAAAGCAAGGAAAAAAGAGCAGAGTAACCCCAAGGACTCAGACGAATCCACATGGAGAGCTTTCCCCACCACAGATGCTAAACAAGTCCTTCCACATTAGATCCACCTACACCTAAAATAGCCTCACCAATCTAACCTTGCCAAAGCCTTCAGCTGGTGTTTCACTTTCCCTGAGAGCTATCTGGAAGTTTCTAAAGTAACTAAAAATGCATTTCCCTTTTTGATCGATTTCCCAAGGGCCACTCTAGCTACAGCTGCTGTACCAACCCCTCTGCCCTCCTCCTCCTCCTCAAGCCACCACACACCTCCACTCCCTCACATGAAACAGCTGTGAAACCTCAGAAACAGGTCCTGGGCAATATGTATCCCATTGATAAATACCTTTAAAAAAAACCCATCTGGAAGCTGGTCAATTGAGCACCATCAGGTAAACTCAGGGACAGCATGTTCCCCTACAGGCTTTTCCTTCAGGATGACTGGACATACTTTGGATTTCTCAGCAGAGGGAGCTTCTCACAAGCAGTTTGAGCACCACCTCCCTCCAGCCCTCAGAAACACCACTTTCAAACAAGCTTTGCACCAAACCCACATGAAGGAAAACTGAAGGCAGCTGACTCCTAACCCCAAGTAACCATCAGCTGGTTTCTTCACGGATTTAAGGAGGCTTGCAGTCTTCCAAAATTCTTTATTAGTTTTCATAACTACTCCTATTAAATGCCTGTCCTTTTAGCGTCCTGGTACTGCTCAGCAGCAGCTCTGTGGCAGTCAGTACCAGGGCTGTGAGAGTTTGTAAGACAAAATGGGCTTTTTAATGCTTTTCAATGCCTTCCTTTGGTGCCACTGAAAGCCTCTTGATATTTTTCTTATGGAGACAGAACTCTCCAGCCCACTTTTGTGTGCAGCTCAAATGCTCTGTATGTGATGACCATGCAGTGTGGCCAGCAGGATCAGGACAGGGATTGTCCCCCTGTGCTTGGTGCTGATGAAGCCACACCTGGATTCTGTGTGCATTTTGGGGCCTCCCATGACAAGGAAGACATTGAGGGGCTGAGGTGTGTTCAGAGGAGGGCAGCAGAGCTGGGAAAAGGGCTGGAGCACAAGTCTGAGGTTGAGGGAGTGGTGGGGCTCAGCCTGGAGTAAAGGAGGCTCAGAGGCGACCTTCTCAGTCTCTACAACTCCCTGAGATGAGGTTGGAGCCAGGTGGGTGTTGGGAGTTTGGCTGGCTAAAGACTGGAAAAGTACAAAACTGTGGCTAATTCCAAGTCCTGCACCTGCAAAGATAGTGTGTCCTTGGGCCTAGCTGTAGTAGGATAACAAATAGTGAAAGAGACATGAGAAAAGAGAGATGTAACCCCTAAGGAATGAGGAAGAGTTCATGGTATAGTTTAACCAATAGATTGCTTGGCTTACAGAATATTTATAAGCTTATTATTTGCTGTATAAGTGTTTGATACTTTCTTCAATAAACTGGACCTGTTGGACCTGTGATGAACCACCTGGTGTCCTGGTCCCCTTCCTACAACAGGTGGGAGTTGGGATCATCTCCCAGGGAACAGGGGACAGGACAAGAGGAAGCAGCCTCAAGTTGTGCCGGGAAGGTTTGGATTGCGTATCAGGAACAATTTCTTCACATAAAGAGTTACCAAACACTGGAACAGGCTGCCCATGGCAGTGGTGGGATTATCATCCCCAGAGGGGTTTAAAAGCTGTGTGGATGTGGCACTTGGGGTGGTGGCCTTGGCAGTGCTGAGGGAACAGCTGGACTTGATGATCTTAGAAGGCTTTTCCAGCCTAAACAATTCTATGATTCCATGACTCTGTGTCCCTTCTCCCTGTCTCCTTCGACAAAGAGCTGCATCCTTTATCCAAAAGCCTTTGCATGGTCACCACCAAGCCCTGCTGCGT